CTCTGCCCATTTCCATCTGTTTGGAGACAAAGGGCCACGAGCCAGCTCGAGCCCCGGGACCCTGCTGGTGAAGTAGGCAGGGATAATACGGCCCATCCCGGGGGCTGCATTTCAACACATGGACCGGGCTTTGTGCTTCCACACACACACACACACACACCTCCATGAGAGAGGGAAGGGAGGAGGATGGGGGGGGGTGCAGGAGTTCTCGCCTTGAACATGAAGACTTGTATGATACCCGGAGACGTGGAGAATAAAAGAGAGGGCGAAAAAATGAGGCAGCACAAAAAGCCCCAAATGTTGTTCCTCGTACTGTGAACATATGGCTGTTTGTTGTCATACTCCATCTCCCCGTCCAATTTACACAGAGCGAGGGAGCTCTCAGAATTAAATAGGTGTGTAGACTAGTGTGTGTGTGTGTGTGTGTGTGTGCTCCTCCTGGCTTTGAGTATACCTGAATGATGATGAGGAGGATGTCCAAACGCTGATAATGGCTGCTGCATAATCCCCTGCCGTCTGCGTGCACCTCCTGACATATGGTCACTCCTCGGCCTCCACCGTTACATAAGCCCACAGTGCAGAGGGAGGGGGGGGTGAAATGTGGTACTTTCTCACACACACACACACACACAGAAAACACACACACACAGAAAACACACACCGGCCACACTGTCAGCCAGGCTGTTCAGTGCCCTCAGCAGTTTGGGCTTCGCCTGTCACTTTCCTCTCCCCTGCCCCTTCTGGGAGTTTGAAAAGAATAAACTGAAGAGGACTGATGCTACGGAAGCTTTTGGGATGAGGAGCACAAATGGCCTTGTAGTGCTTCACAGCCGTGTACAGATGGACCCCTCCATTCAATAAGCTCGAGCAGAAGTCTGTCTCTGCGCCATGCCAGGACCGCAGAGCTTGTTTTGTGTTCTGGAGACGGCAATCTGTTGATGCGACATATTGGCGTTCTTTTCTTTTCTTTCTTGTTTCCTTGTAAACGCATTGATGGAGCGGTCGGAAGCATTGGACCAGTCAGGTTTGAGCTTTGTACGACAAATGATCTCACCAAAATCAAACGATTCAAACATTTCAACGTGATTCTTACGTGATGCAAACTGTTGACAGCACAGTGAATCCGCTGCCTTCGGAGACTCGTCACAAAGTGAATTTTAGTGCCAGCGTGACAACGCACAGAGACAGGGGAAGTTGGGGATTTCAACTTTGGTGACACACACGTCCTGGGGCTTTAGGAGTAGATTTAAATGTACACAAACAAAGATTGAGAAGAAATAGAGAAAGAACCAAACTCACACACAGGCCTCGTGAGAAGTGGACCACTGAACAGAAAGTCAGAGACTAAAGGACTAAACTTGAAAAGAAGAGGGGAGACAATGAGACACAGGTGAGACACATTAGAGCAGGTCTGGGTAAGAGAGGGACACAGGAAGTGAAGGGGCCTGATGTGAGTTTCAAAATAAAACAGTAAACGAGACCTGACATGTAGAATAAAAAAGTAACAGCTATCTTCAGGATGTGACTCAGACAATCTCCTGCTGCAAAACTCAAACCCAATTCACACTGATCGTTCTTATCACACTAAAGTTTGTTCAGGTGTTCATTTTTCTGGTCACTTCAGGAAAGTGTGGCTCATTTGGCCTTCGAGCAGCCGGGACAAAGCGGATGTGAGACTAAAGTGGCCCATGAGAATGTAAAAGGATGGTGAACAGGATAACAGCTGTGAAAACTGATTGTAAGAACGTAGTCGAAGGTAAAAACAGAAAGTCAGGCAGGAGACTGACGGATGACTAATAGGAAAGAAAGGAAACGACACAGGAGGCCCTGAGCTGAAAAGGAAAGAACATTTCATGCCACCTTCAGTCTCCACAGATATTTGAAAGTGCGGCTTCGCTGGAACCTGACTGCAGCTGCTACCTGACAGTGACTGGATACAGAGAGACGTGTACAGATATATTTGTTGTTTATAATCCTGTGTGTTTGACATAACGTGTGCTGCTGCTCCATTGGAGCAGCTTAACTCTTGAATTTCAAGGCTAAGGGGTTGGATTCCCGCCGGGGCCACCCATGCTTAAGCAGAAAACCAGGTTCACTCATGATAATCTAATGTAGCTTGGATAAAAGCGTTCACACATCCTCCACATCTCCTGTTCTCTAACTGGGCTACAAGCTTTTTATAGCACAATCGATGGCAATAGACGTTTATATCACAAATGAATATAAATATTTGGATCTTTTCTGCTCATACCATTTGGCGATATTACATCTCGACACTCGGTCGCTCATAAATTTCCATCTCTCCCATCCCTCCTCTCTCCACGGGTTTCCCACGGGAGGTGCCAGACGGCCAGTAATTTGGTTGTCTTGGCTCGTCTGGAGTAACACCTGCCCCCTCTCTGGGGACGGAGAGAGCCTTTCAGCCAGCAGCACACATGTAGGCTACCACTGCCTTTAGCTGCTGACCACTGTGTGTGTGTGTGTGTGTGTGAGTCTGTGTGTGTGTGTGTGTGTGTGTACTGGGTGAGTTCTCTTTATCTGCATGGGTTTGCACTTATTTTCTCTCACACTGTTTAGACCTATGTGTGTTTACAGCTAAATGTCAGGAGAGAGAGAGATGTGTGTGTGAGAAATAGAGAGAGAGATGTGTGTGTATGAGAGATGGATAGATAGATAGAGAGAGATATAAAGAGATGTGTGCATGTGTGTGTGCATCTGTGTGTATGAGTGTGTGTGTGTATAAGAGATGGGTAGATTGATAGATAAAGAGTGAGAGATAGATCTGTGCATGTGTGTGTGTGTGTGTGTGTGTGTACAGTAAAGTGAGTTTTTCATCTGTATGCTAAAATGGGTTCGCACGTGCATCACCCTTAATTGTGTGTGTGTGTGTGTGTGTTTGTGCACTGGGCTGCATGTTTGTGTATATGCGTGTGCGCGTATCCGTGCATGTATCCCAACAAACCATCCAATAGGTGTGTGCAGACGTGCACGTGCCGAGCTGCTAGTTTGCATGCGCACTGAGATGACCCCCACGCGTTTGCGTGCGTGTGCGCGCGCGCCTCTACACGAGCGTCATCCATCACTCAGCTCAGGGTGAGTCGCTATTTTCACAGTTTTCTTTGACGTTGCAAAGTCAAAAAA